ACTTCCCTGTTTAGTTTGTCACGACACCCCGCTGGGTTGACATCATACAGAAAGCAGCCAGGGGGAAAAATAGGAGCTGTTTGTTTCGGCCTAAAAATATTCTTGTGTTCCGAGCTGCAGAACGTCTAATCAAAATTGTCTGAATGGATTTAAATCAATTATAAATCAAACACAGCCAGTATTTTCTCATGTTTGAATCAAGAAATATTTCATAGCAGTTTGGGGCTGATTTTTTTAAATTTTTTTATTTTTATAGATTTGTATGAGTTTACTGGAGAAGAGGAACAAGCCAAGAGTCTAACGACTTACAGCAAACAAGATGCAAATAACAGGAGTAAATAAACAAAATCAATGGCATTTTTTTAACAGCTGCTATGTAAGCAGCAGTGCYGCTTCCTCTTCCTCTCTTTTAACAACAAACGTCTTTTTTGCTTCAGTGTCAGAGCTTTTACATTCTCAGCATCCAAGGTTAYGGAGCCGTTCGACCCTCCTTCCCAGCAGCTCGCTCCCGTTCCAGYAAGTCCTTCATCAGCTCGCCTCCTCTCGGCCTGGACACGACTTAATCAGCTAAATGCCATGTGGTGTTTGCATCTCTAATTTGAAGCGCTTCAGATATCAATCAAAGTGTTTTCCGGGGGAGGACAGCGCTGTCTTTGCGTCTTTTCTTTGTGGGGGTGAGTACAGGCAGGGGAGGGATGACATCAGATGCTGTCACCCATGTGAAAGTAGATTTACGGCTCTGTCAGAGGTGGAGAATTTCATCCCTTTGACAGCTGCCAGRGTGATCGATCACCCCTGTCACATGCTCGGCTCGGCCAATGAAAYGAGAGAATAAAATGAAAAACATCATTATTTATCGGGAAACTATCATTTAATATCTGGGAAGGCGCGCGCACGTCGCCGTCCTCTGGGGCAACACGCCCTGAAAAGGGGGTGAAACTTTGAACGGCGCTGCCATCACAAGCCAGCGGAAATCACCGGAAATCAGCAGCTTCTGATCTCAGTACGGCGAAGAACGAAGAAAGACGTGGGCCACAGACATGAAACTTCCAACAAAAATCTGCTTTACTGGGAAGTTTCACAAAACAATCTGGACRCAGAAGTTTTTTGTCCAAGTTTCATTTACAAACACGTGCATTCATTTTCTTCTGAGCGTTAATTTAACATTGACTCCAACAGAGATTAAAGAGAAAAAAATATAATTTTTTATCAAACTAAATGCTCAAAAAGCATTGAAATCATGGAAACAACAAATAAGAGCAGCTAAAGCACCTTTTTAGAAGGGATGCACCAATTGCAGTATTTTGGCCGATCGCTGATCTTTAGCCTGACCTGCCRATTCCGATAAACCTTCAATGTTCCAAGCTTATTTTATTGAAAACATYGAACAATACCCTTGAAACAATTCAAACTYGTTTGAACTGGACCTTAGGTATTGCTCACAGCAGGTCAAAGGGGGACAGTGGTTGATTTTCAGACCTTKGCGGCGGTAGAGAAGTTTGTTGGACAAGATCAGCTTCTCATCTAAGGGTGTATTCAGACCAGGAAAGTCCTTTGGTCCAATTGTTTGGTCCGGACCAAAAATGGACTTTTTTTTTCGTTTGGTGC